ATGGCCTCCTCTCGTTTGTAAATTTCTTATGTTCTTATGTTCTTATTTTTTGTCATACATTTTTTCCATCTGTATTTACTAGCTTAAAAATATATATATATAAAGTATAACAAAGTAAAAAGAGCTCTTGTATCGGAATCTGTATCGGTATCGGCAGTTGTATATCGGAATCGCATCGGAACTGGAAAAATGTGGATCGCCCATCTCTACTATCCCATAATCCAGTGTACTCCTGATGGAGGGATGTGCTTTGTGTTGTAATAATGTCAGGCAGTTATTTTGTGTAGAGAAAACACATGCTGTAGTCTTGCTATAGCCCAAATGGATGCTTGTGTAACATCAGTTTCTTTGTCAAGAGTGGTGGCTGTTTTTACCTCTGCTTTAAGGAGCTTAAACCAAGGGTGAGCTCCTGTACTCTTGTTAGCTAATAATAACTCTGAATACAGTTCTAAATAAAGTAATTGTTTTCATAAATTAATCATTCTATTAGCTTGATGATGGGTTATGCAACAATGCTTCTATTATTTTACGCCCATGTGGTTGTCAGGGAGGCTCCTGTTGCCATATTGCGATATGTTTTATTTATTATTTTTTGATACATTCTGTTTTCTACCAGCTGGGTTGAATTACCTGTAGTGTTTTTGAATTAGCGTGTTCCTCTGATGATGAATCTCGGGTTTCACCATGTTCAGGCGGCATAAACACATGGTAAAGTGCGGTGGGTGAAGCTGACGCAGCCAGGCTAGTGTAAGCAGGAAGGAGCTGAGATCTCAAGTCGGCTGCCTGTCTTTGAACCCTCCTCCCCCGGACTTGTGTAATTACTGTTTCATTACCAGGTTTACTGTACAGTTCATTACCAGGTTTACTGTACAGTTCATTACCAGGTTTACTGTACAGTTCATTACCAGGTTTACTGTACAGTTCATTACCAGGTTTACTGTACAGTTCATTACCAGGTTTACTGTACAGTTCATTACCAGGTTTACTGTACAGTTCGTGTCCTGGGTTGACTCCTAGCGCCATTATAGCTCTGTTTCATTGGCAAGCTGGGCCGCCTCTGTAAAATATGATATTAATCACGTTTTTCTGGGTTCTGTTCCAGGAGAGATGCTGTCTGTGGGTTGAGTGCACAGTAACATGCGTGAACCAGCCCAATAGAAATAGCACTGATTCTGCTTGCTATGTGTCATTTTTCTTGCCCTTGAAACGCATGGTAAAGACATCCAGAGTGACTAATGACATTCTCACCTGTAAGAAGTGCGTGTGTTGCTGAGCACTTAATCCTGCATGCGTTTTCTTCAGAGCCCTCAAACTAAGATGGTTTCTTCATCTGATCCAAACGGACAAGCGTCTGCCCATCAAATGTTGCGTCTTACACTCGCCCAAGGATGTGGCCCACAGGCCGTCGGCCTTGAACATGGCTTTAAACGGCATGTGAGAATGTGGGAGGAGCATTCCTGACCACCGAAGAAGAATGCTGGCCTTTACTGGGGTGTGGTAATAAGCTGCTGGCAAAGGCCTTGCAGATGGCCTCACGCTTGTTTTGCCCTTATAAGGTCACCTGTAGCGTTTCAGTACCTGATCATCTTGGCCTTTTTTGGAGGCCTTAGCAGGTAAAACCGGACTGTAGCCAGCATCATGCTTTTGGGGGTGGATTTTCAGAGTTCAGCTGTCAGCAGGTTTATTAGACTCGAGCCGCCTCACTGTTCCTGTTTTATACTGCAGTTTCTGTAGTGAATGATGCTATACTGCAGTTTCTGTAGTGAATGATGCCTCTTTGATTCTCATTTAAAAAATCATATTCAAAAGGTTGAATTTTCCAATTACAAATGCCACAATAGAAGCTGGATTGTAGGGAAACGTATTCTAAGCATTTCCCTTAATAAAAAAACTCTCTTCTCTTTGACATTTCTTGTGGTTTGATGAAATTTATGTCAGTAATTTATGGAACTGAATAATGACAGTCCTGAACAAGTTTGGCAGCAGTAAGATATCCATCAATCTATCTCCATAACCACTTTACCAGTTCAGTGTAATAGTGAGCCTGGTGACTGTCGGAAGCGCAGGGCATGGGGTCGCCCTGGATGGGATGCCAGTCCATCACGGTGCACACACCTCACAAACACACGCTATGGGTAATTTATGGAAGACCCATGAATGAACAGTGGGAACTCCACACATACGGAGCCGGGGCCCAAGGGGGGGGGGAGGGTGCCCCCAGGTGCCAGCCACTGAGTCACTGTGCACCCAGTAAAGTGTCTTTGGCTGGGAATAATGACACCTAGTGGCTGGTTTGTTGTTCTCCTCTCCCTTATGCCGATGCTGAGTACAGCCAGAATGAAGAGGGTTGATGGTCTATAGCTGGATCCTTTTTGGAAGTCGCCTTTAGGTAAACTCCTCCTTTGTCTCCTTTTAGAGTTTGGATGAGCTGGATGATGATGACGGCAGCAACAAGGAGCGGGAGACCGAGGAGGCTCTGACGCAGCACAACACGTTCCAGAACGAGTCCATGAGCACGGATCCCGAGGTAGGGAGACAGTCTCCTCCTGTCAGCGCTCCCATTTCGGACGGCTGTGTGCCTTACCTACCGGGGGCGCTCTCTTACTTCCACATGCCAACGCCTACGTGGCAATTTTCCATTGCCAAAGAGCAGTTCCAATACTTAGGAACAGAAGTGCAGAGGATGGTAAAAATCCCTGGATGATGTTCTTGCTCCATCCCAAATATAAAGGATGCATCGGTTGCATGCTCGCCGAACAAGACCAGTCCCATGATTCATTGTGTCCCAAGTTCATTCCTGGAAAGCAATTTAGCAAGAACGGTCTTGCCAAGACCAGAAGTATGATCTTTGCTTTTTTGGCATGGAGATTCACCCAATATCTTGAATCCCATAGCGGTGGAGGTGTGCCTGCTGTGATGACGTCAGTAGTCACACACTCAGATGTTGCTGATATATTATCTTCCTCTGTATGTAGCTCTGGGCAAAAGCTGCTGCTAAATAAATAACTCTAAGCTAAACGCTGTTGCCAGATCTGCAGGAAGTGGTGTGTGTGTTATAAAGTACATCAATTGGGAGGGTCCTCTAGAATGGAAATGCTAGAGGTAGCACTTTATATATATATATATATATACATACACACACACACCGTAGAGTTTCTTACCTAAAAGGTCCCATGCCAGCAAGTCAGTTCTTCATGTTGTGCTTTCTTGATAATTCATCTGTGATTCAGCAGTCCGACGTTTGCAGGTCTAATTGGCTGCTTTCCCCGACACGGCACTACAGTCGAGTGAAAATGACCGGCCAGGTGTTCAGCTTCTCCAACTTCCCACACCGCTCAACAGGCATCCCGTAGTGAATGGTTTAAGGTGGGCGTACACTTCAAACAATGTCTGGACAAAACAAAATTGAAGACATTTTGTAAGTCCTACTTTATGTCATACTTAAAATGACGCTGCCGCCTTGTTCGTCCTATGTCATACTTAAAACGACGGCGTCCTTTGTCACGTCCTTGAGGCCACAGAATGCTTTTGTTGCAGCAGACCCACAATCAGAGAGCAAATAAAGGTATTGTGGAAAGTGCGAGAGTCATTTAAAAATGGATGCTGCTTTTTTTATTATCAATTGGCTTAACACTATCAGCAATACGGACAGGGAAGCTAACAATTTAAAGGATGCTCGTGGTTACACACTAAAGAAACACATACATTCCTCAGCAAAAATTGCACGGACACTACATTTACTATCAATATGAATACTTGAATACACATACTAATTTAAACTGTTTAAAGTGCGGTGCAGTGCAAAGCATGCACGTAACTGCTTAATTAGTCCTGCTGACCAACCCCGAGGGCATCACGTTATGTTGGCCAATTGTGAACAGTGGGTGGGATCAGAGCTAACAGAAAAGTACACCTCTGTGACCCTTAACAGGTGATGCGGCAAAATATTGATCACCAGGGTGATTTTTGACTTAGACGACATCGTACTGCCAAAACGATGTAGATTCCGTCGATTTTCATTTGAAGTATACGGCCACCTTTAGCTCCACTTCAGGCCTTGGTCTGGATTCAGTCTGCAGGGTAATGGATATCAACACCGAAGGGTTTAACAGGCACGCTCCCTGCCTCGGAAGGTGGGGGGCCGGGACGGTTTACGCTGAAAATGCTTTGCTGCTTCTAATGGAGCACAGAGCGTTCATGTGTGAGTTTACTTCATGGTCATCCAGGCGTCTGGGGGAAACGGCGCTCTTTAGAAAGACGTTTGGGCCCCCCCTCGCGGCTTGAATGACTTGGCCTTCGTTAGCATTACGCCGAAGCAGATAGCAAAAGTGGCTTTCATCTGTCGTTCCTCCAGAGTGGTTCTACTTTTTGTTTTTTTGGTGACCTTTATGATGGTTCCCAGGGACTTGGTCATGGTCGTTTGTGTGTTTCCCCTGCAGATGTGGTGCTGTCATGTACCCAACCTCACTTACAATGTAGCAGGAGCAGGAAAGCGAGGAGGATCGTGGAATGAGGGTATACGTCATTAGTCAGGCTGCTTGAGTGGCCCTCTAAGAATATCCGAGGTGATACTCCCTCTTGCGTCTAATTTGCTCCTTGGAGATTCCTCCCGTGAGCAGCGAAGCAGCGCTGTGCTTCAGGCCTATCAGGTCTGCAGTAACAATGCACGTTTTTAACGTGAGCATTCATCTATTAAAGATACTATTTATATAGCACCGACACCACTAGCCTGTGTGTGTCAGCTAAATTTACCATAAAATAGTAATGAGTTCCTTCGCAAGACTAAATATCCTGATGGCTTTGCTCCAGAAAAGCATCCTGGCGTTGTCGTCACGCCAAAAGGAGGTGTCTGTGAAATATCACCAGCAGGCGTTTGTTTGACGTTAAACTGTCTCCCCCGGCGAACTTAACTGGAGCTTGAACCCAGCAATTTCCCAGTGCTTTAATCGCATTATTAATTACAATAACTTGACATACTGATCCAGGGCAGCCTTCGTGTAGCATGCATGTGATACTCACGGCCTCTTAGAGTCTGGCTCCACTGACAGCAGTCTGTAGAAGAAGGAAAGCTACAAAACAGGGCTGGAATGTCATAGGCTGGCAGTATACATGAGACTCTGAGCTTCTCTATAAAACGTGTTCTGAATGTCCTCCGAACCTCACGATTCAGAACGCTTTACTGAGCCGTGCAGTCCTTGTTCACTCCAGCAGTGTGTCGTCTGCAGCCTGCTGACCTCCTCGCTGACTCTGGGAAATTGCAGACAAACCATTTCCGACCTCACTTTGCCCACCAAATCGCGGACCGTTTACTCAGGCAGCATCAATTGCTGGAAATTCCCGGCTCGTGATCCCGCCACCGGCATGACGCTCTTCTGTTATCTTCTCGTGCTTGTTTCCTCATTCGTGGTTCGCCTGTTTCATTTGCCATCTCTGTCGTCATAAGTCCAGGCAGGTGAAGTGAAATGTCGAATTTCATAAACCGTGGGCGTCATGTTTCCACTCTGATGTTTGCTGAAATGTGACTCATACAAATCCCTCCAAATCAGAGTTTTGCTTCTTAGGGGGACTGAACAGACTTGAAACCGTGACTTTTCACTGAACGCTTTTGTGGTGCCTGCTGCACTAAATTAAGGCTGTCAAAAATGTGGAAAACAACTGAAATGTCTGAGAAGGAAGCTTTGCGTTCCATCCAGATAAACAGTTAATCAGACCATATGTCACGTAGCAGGTCAACAGTCCATTTCCAACACAAAGAGCAGAGGGTTTCTTATTTTGATTTTGGTCTTTGTGTTTAGTTTTTCTTTGTGGAGTTTTTGTTGCCATATGTTATGTTGAGACCCTGAAGATGTGACAGTGTAATCTCTTAAAGACAAGTGCCTGCTTTCTTTTCTTAGCTGTGATGCCAGAATCTCTGTGTACGCTTCTATGTGACCTCATATCTGTCTCGATCGTCTTATTTCTGTGCCTGTGTCTTGTTTAGTCTGTGCTCACAGGGGTTTTAGCAGCAATAGCAACATCATCTGGTCAACCAAGCAGTCACTTCTACGTTCATCATCTGCAGTTATCTTCCTTTATCATCTCACATATTATGAATACAGTGCTGTGCTTCCTTGACAAGCAATCTTCCATCTCTCCTTTTAGCAGAAGGAGATGCTTTCTTGGTCTCTCTCCCCATATGTTACCAGTTAACTGGCTCTGCTTCTCTAAAGTATGTGCACCGTACACTAAAACCAGCACCCATAATCCTGGAGCTGTTTTAAAAACAGAATCACGTGGAACATTCCAGAGTCCGAATGAGTTTTTCGATGCAGCACCTTGCCAAAACATTTGTGGCTCTTTGAATCCCCCCCCCCTCCAATTCGATTTCTATGCCACTAAAATCCCTGCCGTTCTTGAAAGCCCTGCACATATCTAATGTTTTTTTTCCCTGTAATATTCTCAGAAAGCCAAAGGCACCTGTTCTTAGAATTGTGTGGGTTGTTCTGGACTGTATTATGTAAATGGGTATAAGGAAATATGGTCGACTGCATTGTTGGCTATTGTGGAATGTTTGGTTATTAAAAAAAGGTCTTTGCCCGTTAGGAGAGGTCCATGAAAGGTAGTACTTAGTTTCTGTTGCTGTTTTTTCAATCAGCAAAGTATGTGATGCCGGTTGAACTGTTTGTACCCCTGTTTAAAGAGCCCACCCCGTCTGTGGCCATGTGTTTGTAATTGTCATCTCTCTGTTGGGCGTGCAGAAGGATGTAATGTGAGGGGTAGGTCAGGAGAGAGAGGGAGTGCGAGATGTTCTCTCTGAACCCTCTGAATGTTTTTTGGGATTTAGCCGCTTGGGCTGTAAAGTGGCTGCCCTTCTGCCTGTCTGCTGTTGCCTAGCGAACTGTGGAATCTTCCTCTTGTTCTGAACAGATAAGGTATCTGACAATCTTGTTTCATAGAAAACGTAAACAGGCGAAGTCTTTAAAAACACCTAAAATCCTGTCTGAAACCCAAATGCCTTTGTGCCCTCTCCCCCTACTGGAGAGCACGTCGCATTACAACTCAAAGTTTTCAGTCTTAAGAATTAGCCATGCCTGGAATTTTCTTCCCACACAGGAGATGTGAAGGAGCACCCCCACATCCCCCCTGAATAAGCTGGCCTGCTTTGTCTCGCTTCAGCTCCCCCGTTAGCCTGCAGTTTGCTTGCATGTTCTTCTTTGGGGGGGGGGGGGATTTCTGAAGCAGTCAGATTACATTTTCCACTTTGCTTGGAGCTACACGCAAAGAGACCCCCGTGCTGCATGCATTTTAATTATATTGTAATCAAAGCTCTTTGAATGAGGTCAGTCATGGGAAATATTTGTGTGGATGGGACTCTCCGTGGGGACCTCAGTGCCAGTTCAGTGAGTTTGTTTTTAATCATTTCTTTGAGGTGTTCTTGGTGCGAATCGGCGTGCTGTCGCTGGGTGGGACCACTTCACTCCGGAATGTGTCTGCTTTGTGCTATGGGGTTATGGCTAAATAAAGCAAAATCAATGCCCCCCCCCCCACTACCCACCCTTGGACAGAGATGTATTGTAGCACTGTAGCGCATTCAGCCATATACGGCACAGGCCTGGCATCACGCCTGATCTTCGAACCCTTAGCATTGCGGCCTTCTCCCGGGGGCTTTCCTGTCTCTGTGATCTCGCATGGCCCCCTAGTGGCTGGTGGTCGTGAATGTGCTGGACAGTCGAAAGATATCTCAGTGCTCTGTGTCCGTGAACTGGGTGACCTGCTCAGTTTCTGATCCTCTGTCACATTGAGAGAGACGAGCATTTATATATATATACAGTGCTGTTGTGTTTCTGTAGCAGTACAGAAGCACAGTGGACATATGGGCCAGAAGGTGTATATATAATGAGGTAAAGCCTGCTCTGAAGGTTATGTACCTTGTTATATTTGATCAGCAGTATTTATATATCAGTGATGGCCTGGTATCTGGTCCAGGTTATCCCAGGTCATACGTCCTGAGCTTTCTGGGATGGGCTCCAGGGCGCCATTACTCTGTAGTGAATATGCAATTAGAGGCAAGATGGATGGAGTTGTAGATTTAGTTAGATTTCTACATTTTCCATATGGAAATATAAACGTATTGTAGTGCTCTATGGGTCTGATGGTCAGTCTTCAGCGTCTGCGCTCTGCATACGGGCGTCTGAACCAGTACGGCTGCGCAGTAAGTGTTCTGATAGGCGGACTGCGCTCCATGGGAGTCATTGGACGCTTAATGAAACGCTACCCCGTTGTGCACCGGCAGAGCATCCTGCACATTGTGCCCCCTCCCATCTGCCTGCCATGCATAATACAGGCCAGTGTTTATAATTCTGCTGTTGTGTCGTTATCTGTGCTGTTGCTGACTGCAATACTTGATTTGATTTGATTATTTTTGCAGTGTGGAGTTTGGCATCCCCTATATGCTAAGCTCACTGCATGGCTGCCTCATGAATGTTGTTATCTATGTGGTCTAAATGAACAGCTGGATGGTATGACTGGTGAGATCAGTGTCAGCTGTTCTTAGCAATGTAATGCAGGTGGAGACTGGAGACTAGACCTTTCTAGAAGGAACTTTGTTTTGTTTTGGTCTCGCCCCCCCCCCCCCCCCCCTTCCTATCAGTGTTTTGCTTACTCACGCAGTACTCACAGGTGTGGGGTGGGGTGGGGGGTGGGGATTCATGTGATCAGTGTAGCTTAATCTATGGTGCCATCATTTCTAAAGCGAGAATGACGAGTTGCAGAAGAGGACCAGCTGGTTCAGGTAGTGCAGGGAGTTCAGAGCATGTGAGGATGGAATCAGCAGCTCGGGGCTTGAATAGCAGAGCTAGTGTTCATCCCATGACGTAGTGGTGTAACGTATTGCATTGACATAAAGATCCAAGCTATGTTAGATTACGTTTACATAACAATAAACTATGTTTTTCCAAGCGCTCTCTTGTGTTCTTAATTTGGTAATGCTATACAGTGTTTCCCCTAGTTTTACAGCTTTTTTTTTGGGGGGGGGGGGGGTGCAGACAGACACCGACAGGATTCATGATGTTCATGTGTTTCTTTTCATGACGGCAGTCAATATATCAACTGAACTAAACATCAGAGCATTTCTTTTTGTGACAATTATCCACAAAGTGTGCAGCTTTTGTCATTGCAGTGTATCTTTCTGGGCTTCTGGAAGAACATCTTGATGTAGGAAGTTAGAAACGTCTGGCCCATTACTTGCATGCTGCTTTTGAATGTTCTATGAATGCATTATGAAGCTGCACTTAATGTAAAGCGTTACTTAATATTTTAACCCACTGTTCATCATGCAAACACTTCTCCAGTGCTGGGTTGTGGTGGGGCCTGGAGCCTATGCCAGGCAGCAGGGGGTGCCGCCCCCAGAATGGGGTACTAGCCTGTCACAGGGAACATACACTACGGGGCAATTTAGAAATGGCAGTTGGTCTCATTGCATGATTTTGGATTCTGGGGGGGGGGGTGACAGAGTACCCAGAGGAATTCCAGCCAACAGGGATCATGTGAGATCGGGGTCAGGCTACCCACTGTGTTACTGCTCTGCTTGCTGTTAATAATGACCCATGAATTCAGTGATTTATGTTAAAATTTAGGTTCAACTGTTCGAATCATCTTGTGATTTGGAATGTTATTTATTTTGTGTAAACCAGTTCTTCTCCAAGTTGTAAATTACGCATGGGAGAGTCTGCTGACTATCTTGGGTAGATAGTTTTATGTAAAAAGTAATTAATTGAATAAATCACGATGACTTTGCACAAAAGTCTAAGAGTATAGCAGCAGGACAAACGGCCTTGCTGTTTTGCATCTGTTTCTCATCGCCTCATTGTCCTTGAGCACTTCTGTCAAGTTGGCTGGTATAATAGATTGACTTCAGTGCATTTGGGTCTGAAGGCCGTGCAGCCAAACTCTGCAGCAGTGGCACAGATGCTGTGAGTTTCTTTCACTTCAGCTAGCTGGCTTGCGTGGTGCAGACGGCGCACTTGCCGAATGCTCTCCTCTAATGCACTGGTATTGTTTCCAGCAGAGGTTAAAGCTGCTTTCCTCCCAAATCTGTGGCAGTAGCAGCTGATTGACATGGTTGACATTGGCAGTAATTTTGTAATGCGAACAAGTAAACAAAATACAGTTGTACCCAGATAAAGTTTGACACACTAACTAGCTCAAGGACGTCAGAGATCAGTTTCCACACTTATCAGGTCCCACATTTGGCTGGTCTGGTTTGTCTGCGCCCTCGCCTCTGTCATGTGATCGTCCCTCTCTGTTCGCATTTCCTCCAAATGTCCCATCTCTGATGGGTCTTGCTTCTGTATCCTTCCCACTGCCGCTCTATCGCCCCTTCCTGACGCCACTGCCTGTCTTATCAAATTGTTTTTCACTCTTGTTTTGCAGGAGACGCCAAGAGGCATGACGGCCCGTTACAAAAGGTAAGCGCTCCGTGCTAGAGGGGTTGGGGGGTTTGGGGGGGCTCCAGTATGAGAGGCTCCGGGCGCGTGCTTTCCATGCTGCGGCGGGGACTGTCAGTCTGGGCCTGTAATCACTGCAGCAGATGACACTGCTGGAGCGAATTCTCCCATTTTTTTTTTACCAACGTAAAGGCAGCGTTTCCCACAATGCCACAGTCTTTTATGCAGTTTCGTGCAGTAATTACCCCCCCCAGTCTTGAGTATTGCTGTAATTTGAACACACATTTTGTTTTTATTTTTGTTTTTTTTTTTTGTGTAATTTCCTCCAGTTTGTTGCCAGGGCAGCAGGCGAAGCAGCTGCCATAACAGTATCTACCAAAGCTATAATTTTCAGACAACAGCGAATTTCTCTGCAATAATGTATTCTGTGTTGTCTGGTTTAGCGTCACAGTGATAAGCGAAAATTAACATTGTTGCCTTGTGCAGTTCTAAAAACTAAAGCCGCAATTATCATTTTACGAATGATTATGATTTACGAATGACTTTGAAAATGATTAAAAAAAAAAAAAGCACAACACACAACAATACAGTGGCAAGCTGTGTTAAACCAAAAGTAAAGTTTCATGCATCATCTGCAGCGAAAGGGTTTGAATAAAGTACAAATGGGGTCTTCTTTATCTCCTAATTTGATGGGGGAGGGACATCCATCATTTTTCGGAGATGTGGTTAGCTGGCTTCCCCGTAATTCTGCATGGCCTTCAGCCACACGGGCACTTAGCCTCCCGCTGACGTGCTGTGTTATGCTGTGCTTTCGTTCATCCAGATCATTCTAAAGGCTCGTACACAATGGCGGCTCAGGGACAGGGAATGGTGTGTGGTGATTGGACACAATTCCATAACCCACAGTCAATCAGTGATAGGCCCAGAAAGGTATCTGCTTTCAGTGTCACTGGTTATCATGGCCAGGGAGGAGGCCTTTATTCCACTGATCCCCCCTGCTGCAAGCAGGCAGACACCGGCTGTCGTAACTGGGACGGCCTCCGCGGCTGAGCTGAAGGTTTAGGAATAAATATACCTTCTGAGTCTCACATGTGATGGCTCTTTAACCGAAACAGGGCTCCCCTACCTCTCTTAAAATTACGTTGCTAAAACACCATCAAAGACCAAAGGCATCTCGCAGGATATATGATGTCAGGCGAGCTCCACGCCGAATTTATCTATATTCTTAATGATTAAAGGTTTTTTCTTGGAAAATAAATTCCAGGGATAATATATCAGTAGGATTTTAGGAGCCAGGTTGAAGGCTCCTTCCTTAATTTTATTTTTCCGCTCTCCATTCAGAATGTGCTGTTTTTTGTCTAACTCGGTGAACATTTCATAACTTCATTATGTCGTTTTTATCATAAAAAGGTTGGGTCAGGCCAGGCCGCTGGCTGACGTTAGCCTTAGCGTTCCTGCTTGAAACTCACCATCTCCATATCTATAGCACCGGCCAGGCGAGTTACGTGCTCTGTTTATGTAATATTTAGTGCTGTTTTATGGAGTCACTAATATCCCCTTTTCATAGAATATGCCAGTAAGCCTTAAGAAAAGAAAAGAAAAGAAAAGAAAAGAAGGGATGTGATTCAGAAAATCTCATTTGGAATCGGGCTATCTGAGCTCCTAATAGTTTGGGCTGCAGAGAGGGCAGTTGTCTATCGGCTCTTTGCGCAATACTGAGGTAAAACCGTAAGGAAATGAGGTTGGCATTGACCTGCTCCGGTCTGTTCCGGGTCAGCCCCGGGGTGTTCCGGGTCAGCCCCGAGGTGTTCCAAATCAGCCCCGGGGTGTTCCGGGTCAGCCCCGGGGTGTTCTGGGTCAGCCCCGAGGTGTTCCGGGTCAGCCCCGAGGTGTTCTAAATCAGCCCCGGGGTGTTCCGGGTCAGCCCCGAGGTGTTCTAAATCAGCCCTGGGGTGTTCCGGGTCAGCCCCGGGGTGTTCTGGGTCAGCCCCGAGGTGTTCCAAATCAGCCCCGGGGTGTTCCGGGTCAGCCCCGAGGTGTTCCGGGTCAGCCCCGGGGTGTTCCCTCCGGCAGTGCGTTAGGGTACCTTTGCACCCTGATTCATGACCGGATCATTCCATGGTTTTGGTTACTCTTAATAATTAATATGTACAGAAATCGGTGTCAAATCGTGATAAATTAAATTGTGAAAGTAATGGTTGGGGTAGCCTGACACTGATCTTGCATGGTTGGGGTTTTTGAATGGTTGTAGACTTTTTTTTGTAGGGATTGAAGAGTGAAGGCCCGTTTAAATAGAAAAATTGTAATTTTTTGTGGCTATACATTCATCATGATTAAAGTGCTAGCTGGCTGAAAGGGGGTCCTTTTTGACTGCATAGTTAATCACAATTTTTTTAAAAGATTCATGCTCATTAACACTTCATGCTGAACACCCTACAATACATCCCACTAAACCCCCTATCATACTTCAAACTGAACACCCTATCATACTTCAAACTGAGCACTCTACCATACATTATACTGAATGCCCCATCATACATGATACTGAACACCCTACTTTACATCATACTGAACACCCAGTTGAGCTTCATACTGAACATCATACCTTGCATCATACTGAAAACTCTACCATATTTCATACTGAATACTCTACCGTACATCACACCGAACACCCTACCATACTTCATTCGAATATCTGTGGTCACCCCACTAACGTGTGGTGACTCCATGGACCGGTCTAATTGCAGTGTGAGGCAGGTGACGTGGGTGATGTTCAGTTCAGGCTGGTGGTCTCAAGGCTGCCGTTTTCCCTGACTCAGCACGGCCAGCCCAGCTGCTGACGAGGAGCCTGGGGGGAACGGCAAGATCCGGCAGGGGAACAGCCGTCACAGCGGCCTGGAGAGGAGAGTAGAAGAGCTGGAGAAGGTACGGTGTGGACCTGGAGCAGAGAGCTCTCCCCCGTCACTATGTGTCTGCATACTGCTCTCTGTAACATTAAGGGGTTATCAATCTTGAGCAAAATCAGATGTTTTTATTATTCATTGATTTTATCTTTTAGTGATGCATTTATGGTTTGTAGTAGTATCTTTGGTATTTTTACCTTGGAAGTGTAATTCCTATGGCTGACGGTACGAGCGCAGGGAGACCTAAGCTTTTTCTACTCCTTCCTACTCAGGTTCAGTTCCCAGCTTTCCTTTCTTCATCCATGATTCATAAGTGTTCATGATCTCTTGCCACGGATTTATTGTGCATGAAACAAAATAAACTTTCCTTGGGCGCCTGGGGATCATAAAAATGCACTTCGGCCTTGGTTGGCGGAGGGCTTGGCATTGATAGGCCAGCTGTCCTTCGGAAAATGCTATGAAAAGGCCAACCAGCAACTCATATGTGTCTGGGATGGTGTGAAAAATAAAATTAGGTGTTTTTATGATAGTAGGCTTTTCTTTCAAACTGCAGTAACTTTTCAACCAGCGATGACCTTTTGAGCATCTGTAAATATCTGAAATTCTCTTTTGCCCTCTATCAATTCCCTTCTGACTTTCAAAGGTCAACCTGATTGGTTGTTAAAATAAGTGCTTTTTAGATGTGCTGATATGTGTCTCAGGTCTGAATTTTGGATATGAAAATAGGTAATTAGTTGTTTTCTCATCCCTATAGGGTAGAGTTTATGTGTACATAATATCATCTACTAAAAAATTTAGGTTGCGGTGTTCAAACCATCCATCCATCTTCCCACTGCTGATCCTGGTCAAGGTTGTGGTGGGGGGGGGCTGGAGTCCATCTCAGGTATCACAGAACTGGGCTGTGGTATATTCTGCATGGGATGCCAGTCTGTCACAGGGCACATGCTGCAATATACTGTGGGCAATTTGGAGGTGCCTGTTTGATCTGTGTGAGGTAACCTGTAAGAAACCAGCATGATCCTGGGAGACCATGCGAAATGCACATCTTCATACTGGGAGACCATGCGAAATGCACATCTTCATACTGGGAGACCATGCAAAATGCACATCTTCCTGAAATTGCACATTAAAGAAGCCTAGGCTAGCTTTGTCATGTCAGTGATTGACAGGATAAAATAAGATATGGGGGTAACTCTGATAGAGAATGCTCACGCTACTGGGGGGGGGGGGTGTCTGTCTCCAGGAGCTCGCCGGGGAGCAACAGGAAAACAGCCGACTGCTGGCAGCCCACCAGGAGAAGGACGATCTGATCGAGAAGCTCAGGGAGGAAGTGGACCTGCTGAATCGGGTATGTGTGTGTGGTTCTGTGATGAGGGGCCGGTCTGACTGGGACGGGAACGCCGGCAGAGCAGCCGTGAAGGGCTCCCGCTTTCCTCCCGAACTTGACTTCCGTTACATCTGTCGTTTTCGTATGATCATTTTCCTTTCCGCACTTTGAAAACACTGTAATGGACGGTTGCCGGCAGTATCTGGCTCCCCTCAGCATCATTCCCCTTTGTGATGTCATCAGCGGGCTGCCGTCAGATGAGCCGTGAAACTGTGAAGCGCCAGCTTTTATTTAAATCCGCACTTCAATTATCGCTCCCCCAGCTTAATTTTTTGCTGTGCGGTACTGTATGGTTTTACCACTGGATTGTGGCCACAGACACAAGAAAAATGTAGGTATATCCTGTTCATTCATATTCTAGCATAGACTGGGGTGTTTTGTTGTTTTTTTAATACATACAGGTGTTTCTTGGTCAAATGAGTTTTATCTCCAGCCCTGAAGTATTAACAAAATTAATATCCTGTGTTAACCATGTTAATAAGGCATATTGTAATTAAAACAAGTCGGGGTGCTGTGTGAAATGTAAATAGAATGCGAATCATATAAACCCATATTTAATTGAAAGTAGGACAAAGACAACATATCAAATGTTGAAACTGAGAAATTGTGTTGTTTAATGACAAATGAATGCTGAATTTGAGGCCAGCAACACATTTCAAAAAAGTTGGAACAGGGGCAACAAAAGACTGGAAAAGCTGAGTAATGCTAAAACAAAACACCTGGTTGAATAACTCATAACCGATTAGGTTAATTGGCAAAGGTCAGTAAGATGATTGGGTATAAAAAGAGCCTCCCAGAGCGGCAGAGAGATGTACCACTTCATGGGCAAATAGTGCAAAAATTTAAGAATAATGTAATATTGCAAAGAATTTGGTAATTTCATTGTCATCGGTATATTACGGTATATTAATTATCATTAAATGATTTAAGGAATCCAGAGAAATCTCTGTATGTAAGGGACAAGCCCGAGGATGAGTATTGGATAGCTGTGATCTCCAGGTCCTCAGGAGGCACTGCATTAAAAACACTATATACACTATAGTGGAAATCACTGCATGGGCTCAGGAACGCTCCTGAAAACCATTGTCTGTCGACACAGTTTGTCACTGCATCTACAAATCTACCATGCAAAGAAGAAACCATATCTAAAGATGATCCAGAAATGCCACAGACGTCTCTGGGCCCAAGCTCATTTAAAATGGACTGAGGCAAAATGGAAAACTGTCCTGTGGTCTGACGAATCGAAATTCAAATTCTTTTTGGAAATCATGGACGCCACTAAAGAGACCCCCAGGCTGAAGAGAAGCAGGACCATCCAGCTTATCAGCGGACAGTTCAAAAGCCAGCATCCATGATGGTATAGGGGTGCATTAGTGCCCATGGCTTGGGTAGCTTGCACATCTGGCAAGATGCCACTAATGCTGAATGATAAATACAGGTTTTGGAGCAAGATATGTTGTTATCCAGACAACGTCTATTTCAGAGAAATCCTCGTATTTTTCAGCATGACAATGCCAAACCACATTCTGTGCATATTACAACAGCATAGCTCTGTAGTAGAAGAGTCCGGGTGCTAGACTGCCCTGCCTGCAGTCCAGATCTGTCACCCATTGAATATATTTGGTGCATCATGAAACGAAAAATACGACAAAAGAGCCCCCGAACTGTTGAGCAGTTGAAGTCTTATATCGGGCAAGAATGGGGCAACATTTCACTTCCAAAACTCCAGCAACACCTTCTCCGAAGTTCCCAGGCATTTACAGAGTGTTGTTGAAAGAAGAGGTGATGCAACACTGTGGTAAACATGCTCCTCTCCCGGCTTTTTTGAAACGTTTTGCTGGCATCAAATTGAAATGGAGCATAAATTTCTGAGTTTCAACATTTGATATGTTGTCTTTGTTCTATTTTCAATTAAACGTGGGTTTATATGATTTGCAAATCATTGTATTCTGTTGTTATTTACATTTTATACAGCAGCCCAACTTTTTTGGCAGACTGTGCCAACCAAACATGAAGGGCCAGTGTTTGTTCAAATACAGACGAAACGAGTCACCTGACTCTCCCTGTACAGGTGGACTTGTGGGACTTATGGGAGCTTTAAGTGTTACTGAGTGTGTGTGTGGATTAGGTTCATATTACATAGTGGGGACCAAATGCCCCCCACATTTGATCTGGGAGAATGACAGCTGCATTGCTTAGGTAATAGATGTTGCCTTTCTGCTGTCTTTCAGCTCAATGTACCATTTCATTAATGATGACAGATTTTTGCAGGTATTTTTTAATCTGTTGAATAATTCATATATTTTTTTTCCTCTGAATAATAAATGTGAAATCTGACTGTTTATTTAGGTTATACAGTATGTAATTGTATTAACAATTTCTGTTTATTTGACTGTCCATCTAATGGCCTCATTGTGTTCCCACCAGCTTCTGACTAATCTCCTTAATTATCCGCAAACATGAAAATTAGATGTCAGTTTTTATTTGCAACCTTTTCAGGGTTCACTGACAGCGTTCTGCAGCGGCCATTTCTTTACATTTATGTTTCATTTATTTATTTAGCAGGTGCTTTTATCCAGAGTGACACATTTTTTTTGTCTGTCTCTAGAGCTGTCGGGCTTTACGGCCTTTGCGCAGAGACCCAGTAGTGAATCCACTCTGCTGGGTTATTCCATTCCTGCTTTACAAAAATGATTTTCGGATTGTCGCTCTGACTCTGATCATTCTGGCTGACTGTCCTTTGTTCCACTAATTGCTTTATTTAAAAGTGACAGGATTTTCTCTGCAGCCTGTAGAAATGATAAATCCTTATCTTGCTAGTGTACCAACACCAGTGTGATTTTATAAGGTGAAGCTTGTTTGCATGTTTCCGAGGGAAATTTCAGTGTCAAGTTGTACATTGAACTCTTATTCACCTTATATCAGGGGTGGGGACCCTGATCCCTGAGGGCCGCTGTGGGTGTGGTTTTTTTGGGACGACCTACTGGATTAACCAGTACAGCACTGCTTTATTATTGGCTGATTGAGAGGCCATCCCAACACCCCGGACCCACACCGGCCCCCCATGGAAGAGATTCCCCACCCCTGCCTTACATGGTCTGATTGTGTTTACAGCTGGAGGAAAGAGATCCACAGAACATCTTTTTTTTTTATTTCAATGTCCAAAATTTCTTTTTATTCCTCTCCGCAGGACCTGGATGAGCTTGAGGACGAAAATGAACAGCTCAAGCAGGAGAACAAGACCCTCCTGAAGGTGGTTGGTCAGCTGACCAGGTAGAGGATGTGCAGAAGTCCCTGGAAGACGGACCCTCGTCTGAACGCCGGTGTCTTACATCGCACACGTTCTTTTCCTGCTTCTGGTGTCTCTCTGCCTATTGGAGGAGGACCTGTGTAGCCAGGGAGACCTTAAAACTTTTAAAGCACCTTGTGATCTGTAAAATAAGGAATGTTTTTGATGGTGTATTTTATAGGTGTCATACAAAGAACCATACGGTGTAATGGGATTTTCACCTTAATTTGTTGGGTAATATTTAATGTAAATGTTTTGTACAGTGAATAGGCCTTACAGATGGTCAGTATGCAAAAGAAGGTCGTTCAAAGCCCCGCAATGCTCTGTAATTGTTAAACTTGCGGCTGTTGCTTGTTCTGATAGAACTGGGTTACCATGTTAGTCATTGCACGGTTAAATTAAACCCCCCAGATGTTAATTTGTTAACGTGCCACAGCTGGTGACTTTTGTGGGCTGTTCCTGGTGTTTCCCCACTGGTCTTGTCCTGTATTATCTCGCTATGAAGGAGCAGTTTGACTGAGTGTTTTTCCCTCTATATCAAAACTCTAAAACAGCAAAGAATATCTTCTGCAAGCCAAAGTGCCATGAGTCACAGTTAAACCTGGTGATTTTGGTTCACCCACATGGAAGATCATGGTGCTTTTTGTAGTCATGGCGTGACAATCTTTGGCTGCTGCACTCTGTTAAAATCCGCAGTCATACAGTACTACATTAAGTACAGTAATTACATTAAGACCTTATTAAATGAATTAAATGTGTTATAAAAGTGTGTTTTTTTAATTTCTCTCAGAAATGTCCTATTTTCCTGATGGAATGTGGAGATTTTTCATCTAGCAGCTAGTGTATCCAAGTGCTATGATTTTCAGAAATATCGATGGATTTAAGCGAAGGTATACATACAATCCAAGTGTTTACAAGTGTGTATGAGAGTTTTTTGTTCTTTTCCATTGTTGACAAATCTAGCCGTTCATAGTTTAATCGAGCGAGATAAATAGAGTATGCTGCTATGGAGTATTTTAAAGCCACATCAATCACAGAAAGTCACTCTGCTGGAAATGCCTCGTGTGTGTGTTGCCCGTAATGATATGGAGAACAGGTGTATTATTTTATGGCTGCAGTAACTGTATTAGATTTCGGTTTTCATGACTCAAATTTGGCTTATTTTAGGCTTATGTTTTTATTAAGTCTGCTCTTTTAAATCTAGTTATATTCACAAATGTACATTTTCCCTAATTTGATGTGTCAGGTTATGTAGACTATTTTCTGTGAACACTCTAGACTATGCATGGACAGCCTTAGACATCCAATAAAAGTTCAGTTATATCTTTTTATTGTTTCTTTGTGTTTTATGATGCCCCTAAAACAGTACTGTGGTCTGTCTTGGCCTCTCTGTTGAATCAGTGTGCACTGATTTGTTTAAGGAATAACAGCAGGAGGTTCTTTCAATAAAGAGCACTTTCCACCAAAAGCTTTTTAGTCTGTGAACATGACAGCTGCCATAGTGGTTATGTGATTTATGCATTAGGGGTCTTTGTGTACAGTGTAATATAAAGAGGTTGGGTCTGGCTGGACCTTGTGCTGATTTGGTTTGCGGATGGACGCATTTCTCCTCCATTTATTACCCGGAATTCTCTTCATTTATCCCCTACATACATTTTCTTCTCATTTCTGCGCTTCCCCTGTTTTATCTGTCTGTGGGATTTCAGTGTGATTTTTTTTTTTACCTTGTGGGGACATTTTGTTTTCGTTGCTCACAAGGGGGAAACTCAAAAGACTTGTATTTTGTTTGATTAAGGTTAGGGCTGGGTAGGGGTTAAGGTTGTCATTGTTAGGATTAGGGTTATGATGCTTATAGAAATGAATGGGAAGTCCTGTAAAGATATGAATATATGGACTGTGGGTGTGTGCGCGCGCTTATGCGATAATGATAAATACGGTGGCATTTTCATTCCTGTACGTCGGCCTTGTAGGAATGGCTGGATTTAGGCCATGTGGAGTCCGCTGGTATTAAAGGGACTCGCATCACTGGGAATCCATCAGCGATAAATCCAGCAGAGTAATGGTTACAAATGAAGAGGTCCCTATATACAAATGCATTAGATGTATGGTGACTGATAAGCCCATAATCCTGTAAGACCCGCCCTTATCTCGTCTTTTAGGCCTCTGGGCTTTGCACTCAGGTCTCGTGCTGGATTCTGAGCAGTACTCCTCATGGCCGGGTCCATGTATCATGAGGAAGTCTGTCAAAGATCAGGTGGCTTCTGATATAATAGCTGACATCAGTATAATAGATTCCCACTTTGTTCAATGGAAAACATTGCCAGTCATGCAGAATGTTAAACTGTATTATTCCTCTCCACAGATTCTTTTTCCTACCTTCTATGTAGTGGGAATTATACTGAGGATTTTTTTATTTCCCGAATTGATAACCATATAATGCTTTGTCTGTTTCTACAACTGGAGATTTTACTGGACCGGTTCAGTGTAATTACCTTTTCAAGGATGATTAGTAGTCTGTTCACCATTCTACATGTCGGCAGATGGTAATTCATTCTATCTTCTTGTAACCGTTCTTGTTAATACGCAAATACGCTGTGATATTGACTTCCCCGTGCCTCTGCATTGAATCATTTCTTTTTATAATAATCATCCATATTGGTCTCTCAAAGGAACAGAGATAATGTGCATGTTTCCAATGCATAAATAACTTCCTCTCCATACGTTGTCATGACAGAGGAGAGCAGTCAATAGACATTTCAATTCTCAATGCTGACTTCTACCCTGATTGGTTTCTCAATTTTGTACTTGGTGTTTCTGCTTAAGAACCTGCAGTAAACAGGCAGTTTGGTAGCTATTCTGCATCTTTTCCGTATATGACAGCACCATCTGAGGCGTTTGTTCCTTTGTGTGACCCCCTCACTATGTGAAAAATTCTGGCTTGTATTCCAATGTTGCCTGTGGCACAGATGTGAAGGTGAAGGTCTCTCTTCCTAAAAACCGTAACGGTGTGCCAAATGGGAATAAGGTGTACCCCATCGATGGAATTGCCGTTGAATTCTGGGCTGAGTGTGGGCGAGTCGCCCAGAGGTACTTCGGTGCTAGAAGGGTAGCAGGCTTTGGGCACGGAAACATCCTTGTTATTCTAAAATCTGTCCTCTTGTCTGAGTTTGATAAGCTCCTTCTTGGAGAGGCTGCTTCTTCTGTATTGTATCACGCTCTGGCTTGGAGTAGTTAGATTTTTACTTTCAAGACTGCAAATGTTTGTTACCCACTCCGTCCATTCCCGACTGCTATTGCCCTGTTACCAATTTCCCGCAAACTGTAAGGCTGCCTCAGCAGGCTTTTTATTTTTCTCTGAGAATCGCAGATTTACTCAGATTGAGGATCTCATATTTATATATGTACTGTAATGATTTTACTGAGTGGAAGGTTTATGTAAACGGCAACATAAGTGCGAGGTCTGAGGAAAACGCCAGAGCACTCTGCTCAGGCAGGTCAGTGTTTCAGGCATGTTTTTCTAAGGCCTGAATAAAAATGCCTCTTCTCTTTTGAGGCTTTTGCCGCACTGGGTAGTACTTCAATTATCGCACAAACACACAAACAGGTGATTTTTTTTCACCCTGAACAGCGCTTTTTCATTCAAATCGACATTTTGAATAAAAAAGTAGGATGTCTTACTGTAAGTCATGCCAGAGATAAAGGTTAATCTCTCTCACTATGAATCTGCAGCCTATTTTCTGAGGTTATAGTACAATTTTGTCCGATGCAAATGACGGTTTCCTATGTTTCAGAATACTACACACATACTCTGATCAGAAAACAAAACACGACACACGCCAGTCTCACACGATTTTCTATCTCGATTTTCTGTTGAATATTTCCTTCCCCCTGCTGCCTCCATTGATTGTATTTGCTATGTCTGCATCACGGTAGGCCTTCGCTCTCCAGGATCTACAGCGTCTGGATTGCTCAGTCAAAGCACCAGGAGGCCATTCTCTGTTTTCCTTCTCGGTGTCTTTGTCCAACAGCCGTGTCTGAAGTGTGAGTATGACTGTTCCATGATGGACTGGATTTATCTTGCTATCAGTAACGTGAAAGCAGGTCATTTGTTTGGAAAGCTGGTTGTAGAGTGTTTGCAGGCGCTGGATGAGGACGAACGTGACACACTGCAAGTTTCATTGCTTTATTTTATTCTGAGGCTGTGAGCACGTCCTGTGTAAAATACACTTCAGTGGTTATTGTACTATACTTCTGTGTTAAACTCCCCTTCCCAAACTTTGCAGGCCGACCGATAAAACAGCCAGACTTTTCCAGCAGTTGGTATTGTTGCCAATATTTAATCTCAGTTAGTAAGATTAGATGAAGGGTTGTTAAATACTTTCCCTACTGTGTCACCCTTAAATTATTAATCAGTCATTGCATACAGTAGTTTGTCATTTCATTTTATGAGCAGATTTTTGCATGCTTACCCCTTGGTATAATTTCTATAACTACTACTTTCCAGCATTTTCTTATATTGCACTGCATGCTGAGAGAATTGATAGGGTGTTCAAAGGCAACATAATAAACCTTGATAAAAATTCCAAGAAGTGATATCAGCCATATGAAATTTTGTATATTGTTATTGGATAGTGAACTTCAAAATAACAATGGCAAAGATGCACGATGAATATTTTGCAATCATATCTTTATCTACAGTTTTAAGTATTTTTTTAAATTAGCGCATTAAATTGCAGATCCTATTCAGTACTGATCGTGTTCAACAATTTTCCATCCATTTTCTTTCAAAACCATTTATATACAGGCGGGGTCGCAATCAATTTCTTTCATCTCCCGGTTTAAGATAGGAGCCCTGCATACAAAGCATTAATAAACCATAAACGGTATATTCACAAATTGTTCTGTCCTGAGTGGCTGTTCATCAGAATGCTGCTAAGGATCTATCTGCAAAGAAGCAATCAGTCTGTTCTTGGTGACCGCCCTGCTGTAACTGCCTCCGGAGTTTCATTCAGAACACGAGTTCAGCACCCACAGATAAGAGAAGAAATCAGATTATTGCTCACTGAGGAGTTCTTGCAATGAGGATTGTCTACAATATGAACCAGGTCTATATCCCTGTAGATCTCCCCCTGCAGATGTTATGTTTTCTGCCAGTGCTCATATTGCAGTTGGGGCACTCTCATTCCTGCAAGTGTGATGTTTGTTATCTATGAAAACACACCCATAATTGGAAAAGTCAGCTTGACCGTCTATGGTCTGAGGAGAAACAAAGTCTACTCCTCACTTCAGCCTGATAAGACCTCCTTGTACCATCCGTTGAACCCTAAGCCTGATTCTGTGCTTGAGACCATGCCAGAGAGCTGATTTATCGGCTGTCTGTTTTCAGGAGGACAGTATGGAAGGTTACTGTAAACCGGGGGCTGCGGACCCATCGCTGGCCATTGGGAACATGTCACGGTGTTATACAAGGAATCCACTCCCATGCATTCTGTCATCTATTTTGTCTTGCTGGAAGTTGGTGCTTGAACATCTTATCAGTCTGTGCCATTGGTCACCAACTGGTGGATTCCAGACTGCATGCCCCCCCACGATAAATTTGGCCTTGGCTTTGTGTTACTGATGGAATTTGGCCCTCGAGGAAAAACAGTTGAGGTTCCCTGGTCATTGCTATCTTATCCCCAAGAGATCGAAGTAGTGTTTATGTCTACATATGCCTTGCGTTAAATTCTACATTAATAACTTTACTGTTGAACACTGTTGTGTGTATTCAGCAAATAAACTCAGATTAAGTAGCATCTCTGTTCACGATGAAACTTTTTGTCATACAATTGGGGAACTGTGTGGGCAAAATCCAGCACATATGTAAGCAAATCCTAGCTTACATGTGAGATATCAACAGTGTTAAAAATGGCACTACTTGTCACAAATAATGGAACACAAAGCTTTTTTTTAACGCATTAATTTATTTAGCATCATTTCTTTTTCTTTGCTGATGAAGGTTTCGACATTTTGGAAAGTCGGTGTCACTCTGAATAAATGATCATGAGCATCACAACAGCAAAACAGGAGGGTGGGAGAAAGGAATGGAGCACTTAGAAGGTCCCATATCAACAGGAAATAAAACATGTTTATTGAACATTGTGTATATGAAGTCAGTTATATAAGCACGATCAGAAAACCTCACAGAGTGAATCACGCTACGCACAGTGAAACGAAATCGTAAAACGCCATCAAAAATGAATACACTGCAATCCAACTGCTGGCTCGCCGGTGGCGCGAGGCAGTGCGGCAGGAAAGAACACCCCGATTATTTTTCTACACGGTTACAGAGAAAATTTTCACACACAAAAATAGTTAAGCAGGCAGTTAATGTACACAAAGGCAACTAGGATCTTCCTACAGCATCAGATTCTAATACTTTACACAGCTTCATCTGAAAGCTAGATGTGGCTTTTGTCGTTGTTTGCGGAAAGGTTTGTCATGGTCACACAGCAAGTTCTGCTATTTTGCGTCATTTTGTTTATTTATTTTTAGCTACTTTGAGTCCCTTGTACGCTTTGGCGGGGGTCTGTAAAACGTCACTTCGCACTGGAGGTAATGGCTTTTGTGTTTGTGACTTTACACATGTGGTGGTCGGGCCGCAGTGGCAGTACACGTGCCCCCGTTTCGGTCCGGCCATGACGCGTTATTTTGTTTGACGCATCTCTGTAAAATCTTTCATTTTTGTTTACTTTCATTCCCCCCCAATTTCAATTTTTTTAAACGAGCATTTCAAAATATTAAATATAAATCTATGAAATAAAAAAAGAGGTCCCACAAAGTGAATACACTTTGTAAAGGCGATATCACTCATTGGGCCATATATATTTTACAGTATTTAACAGGTTTGGAATAATTAAATGATCTATATAATTAACACATAATTACTGAAGTCGAACAAAGAACTAATATTTATTGCAACAATTTAAAAAGTGACCACTACATCTCATCTCTCTGGAAAGAGAGGGAGGGAAAAATAAAACTCAAAACACAAAGTCCACTACATTCAGGCACACATTTTAAAACTATAAAACAGTTCAATAATTTAAAAACAAAATAGGGCCCTAAAACAGGAATGGAATGATCTGATGAGTATTAAATTAGACTCGGGCTATAACAGAAGTGATGTAATTGATACTTTTTCCATTTTAATTCCAATATTAAGTATATTGGGAAAAATATAAAAGTATATACAATTTTTGGTGCCATGTTTTGGTGTTAACCAATGATATTTTCCTGAAACATTTTAATCTGGATCTCTGTGCAAGGAAATAATAAAGAAAGAAAAAAAAAAAAACATTCAAGTTGACTGTTTCATGGAACGATACGTGATACGATTTGTTGAGCTCTAATATAACCTACCCTGACTCATTATGTGCTGTGTCCTAACCAGGTCTTGGAAAGTAGGTTATCCAAACATATATCTTCCTTGGGCCACGCCACCAAGGCAACACTATGGGATGGACGTACAATATTGCACAGTGCTCTACAAGATGCTGTGTGAACGGACCCACTCCGGTGTACACCTTCAGTGCTCCTACATACAGCCGAGTGGTTACTGATTGGCTCGCGGCTAATGGACAGCTGATCCAGTGCGGCCAATCAGCAATGCAGTAGAAGAGGGATTGGCAGTTTTTATACGTCACTACAGAAGAAACTGGTCGCTATCTGCTAAGAAATCTACACTTCTAAGCACGCACAGTGGTCACAGTGATACACAAAGCAGTCCTCACAGACTTATGGAATGACAAGTAGCTTTATAATAGTGCTATTCACTACATAATTACACTGAAAACATAAAAAACTCCTCCTGAAGCTAGCGCCTAGTACAAATAGAAGGTTCCTCAAAGATAAGACAAACGGTTTTAGTTCAGTGTTGCTTTTTTGCCCCATTTGTTCCTATTGTTTTTTAGCTTTAGTAAAAGACACATGGGGAATTATGCTCATTATCTCTGCAGACCATTAACTCCTACGGTTTCTATCATATGTTTTCTTCTCTGTAGCTTTTATTTTAACGTCAAAGCGGCACAAGGTAAAATATTTAATATTAACCAAGTAGAATGAAACTCCGTCGTCTCTGTTGTCTTTTTTTGGTGTACGTTCAACAGGGTCGGTGTGCAGTGTCTAGGACCATCGCCTTGATCATTGGTGGTACTTGTGCGTCACGCATTACGCATCACGCATTACAAGCAGTGAAGGCGGCAGTCATTACTATCCAGTGCAAAAACGGCAGCCACGGGAGAAATCAAATTCGGCAGTGAGGCATGGCTAACACTATTTGTCACTGTGAGAAGGCAACAGAAGTAACGTGTGCTATTAACGTAATGTTTTGCCACCCAGTCCTCGGGGATCCCCAGACAGTTCATGTTTTTGCTCTGGGAGGGAGCAAAAATATGGACCATCTGTGGGTCCTCAAGAACTTGGTTGAGAAACAATGTATTAACGGCACTATCAAAACCGAGGGCTGTTCTCGAGAAAGGAAGCCGGCGGACGTCGCCTAAAACGCGTGCGCACGGAGAAACAAAGTGACTTCCCTGAAAATGGCAGTGCTTTGACTCAAGTCAGCTTCACCCCCATGTCAGCTATGGCATGGATGAACTCCTCAACCCAATAAGCCACTGTTTTTTTTTTTAAACTCGGCAGTACCTAAGAATTTCTCTTGATTTGTACCGATTGAAGGCAAGGGGGGGTCCTGCAAAGACCCCAAAGGAAGCTCAGCCTCCCCCCAACCTGGTATTTAGCAAAGGTTATTTCTAAAAAAAATCATGCAGTTCCCCAAAAAATAGTCAGAACTTTTTTCCTAAAAAATTAAAGCAGGAGCCATAAACTTTCTCCATAATTAGAACTCAGACTAGAAAATATACACCATAGCAAACAACAAGTCTATTGAGCAATTAAAAAAAGGTTAAGCTCCGAAGACACGATGGTAACAGCTTGGTTCTGCTTTGTGTGGGGATAGGACATTAGGGAGCCAGATAGACAGACAGACAAGTTCAAGAGGACCAGTTGTTAAAAAAAAGACAATTCACGGAAAGAAGTATCTAAAAAAAGACCCGCAACTGTGTCACACTGCAAAGACTGACTCAAACAAGGAAAGGCGGATTGGCTTGCATTGACTTTGAAATTCTCGGAATATCAGCTCTCAAGATAAATCTCACAGGTCCTCTGCTTGAGAACCGGCTATAAAAAGTCATAAGAAACCATGTGCTTATATTGAGCAGCATATAAATATATCATTAATGGAACCATATTAGTTAATGGCCTTCTATGCTTTTTTTTCCCTCTCTTTGATGGTTTGGTAAGTAAACAAACAGACTGACACCGTCCTTTACAATTTGAGTTTACCTCCACTAGCATTTTGCAACTTGGTGTTTTGCTTCTTTTTCTGGAATGCAGTAAGATAGATTCTGAATATATCAGCTCTCCTATATCTCCATTTACATAATTTAAAATAGAACATCTTATTAAAAACATTGAGATATACATAGATTAGGAAACGCTAAACAACATACAAACACACAAACTATAAATCATTTTGTCTGCATACTGATATATACAACTGTGTGGTACAATAAATAATTTGTCATGCGCTATCTATACAGATCATATTGCTTAAAAGATGGGGCGCGTGTTGGGCAGATAAGCTATCTTTTGGGGGGTGGGTGTCACGGAGGGAAGATGGGGGTGTTAAAAAGGGCCTATACACCTGAAAACTGGAATATGAGGTTGGGGACAGGGTATGTGACTTTTTTTTTTTTTTTTTCTTTCTTGGGCAGGGAATGGTTAAAAAAAAACACATGGGAGTGAGAGGACCCATAGACCACTGAGGTATTTACACATACTGGGTAATGATCACTACACAGGCGCGCGTCAAAAAAAAAAAAAAAAAAGCTGGCCCCTATTTCTTGCTGCTGAGCTGGGCGTCCACCTCCTCCTCGGGCTTGAGCACGTGCCACTGGGCGATGGGTCTCCGTGGGTTGGCCAGCATGTCTGACCAGTGCCGCAGCTCAGTGCCCGTGCTGTTCAAGCCCACGAACACCTTCCCAATGGCATCGTTCTTGCCGATCTTGTCATAGTCCAGAACAGTCACAACAATTTGCACTTTCTGCAGGGGGGAGATTGGGGGGGGGGGGGTCAGGAGTTGATAAGAAAAAGTCACAAGAAAAAAAAAAAGAGGAATGAGAACTCAGAATGATGTTGTTTGTGTTTTTCTAACCTTTTATTTTCGAGAGTTTCCGTCCTTTACTGAGAGACTGTTGTCTGACTACTCCAAAAATGCATGTTTTTTTCACACTGCTCCTAAAACATATCTCTGATGTTTTTCTTCAAACAAAGGGGTCCTCCCCTTCTTTTCCACAACACACTCCAGAGTCACTTTGAACCAATTTTGCCTGGGAATGAACAAAGTAACGCCGGAGCCTTTTCCTCATGTGCTCGAAGACGGTCCTGGCCCCACACAATCTGGAGCAATTTGGAAGTGCATTTGTCTTGACACATCAGAAAAACCCATCTCCCTCCCTGGGCGGGTTATGCAAGGAAGGAGCCCTACCTTTGCTTGGGCTGAATTGTGGCAGGCAAAGGCCGTTTCTTGGAGGCAGGATTTATTGAGAATTATTATTATTGTTACTCTTAATACCCTCCCAAAGCAGAGGTATTGATGTTTTCGGACGCGTGTTTGTATAGGAGGTACATTTATCATGGAACTCATTACAGCTTCTCACTCAATAGGGAAGGCAGTAGAATTCCATGCCTGAGCACCTGCTTATTCAAACCCATTCTGGCACGGAGCAATCTTTCCCGTGGCATGGGGCCGGACGGATGAGTTTGCCGTGATTACATTCGATCCATGGGCTTGAGAGGACGCGCTGTCACCCGGGTGCCGGGGATCGCACCGGACTGGCCTAATTCGCCTTATAATGGAATATTGGTCAAGTAAAAGGATCCCATGGGGCACGTGCGACATCGGGAATTGACCGAGGTGGCCGGCATGGGCATTAATGCTGCCGTTTGTGGACATACAGGTGCGAGGCACTCCAATTAGCAGCCACTTCCGTCAGCCAGCTGGTGGAGGGGGGGCGGTCGGGTGCGACTTCAAAATGAAACTTGGAACAAGCCGCTGATCCTGATCTATGAAGCGCTTAGTAAATTTACGGTAATTACCGGCACGTTTGCCCCTCCCCACTTACAGTCCTCATGTTTTGTGTCTTTAAGATTCCATCAGCGACAAATTAAAGAACTTTCAGTGAAAGGCGAGCTCTGTGAACACACAGAACAGCTGGATAGGCCAGTAACCCCAACCACACACATCTGGTGTGTGAAGGGCAGGTCAATACTTACTGTAACACCCTGATTACTGGGAAAAACGCCAGTTAAAAATATAACGTAATCCTTGGTCCCTCGTTATATTTTTAGAAATATAACGAGGAACCAGATGGAAAATGTGTCTTTTTACCTGAAAGGAGAGCCTCACCTGGATTTGTTCGAACGGCACTTCAAAGCTGAAGGACTCATTGTAGTAGGGATTGAGGGTGTTCTTCTTGATTGTTGTCTTCTTTTTCTTCAGTCTCTTCCCGTTTTGCATCAGATGGATTTTAACGTATGGATCTGTGGGAACATAACATTTTTTTTTAAATTTATCCTTATACCCAAAACGATGTACATTATTGGAAAGCAGGGTCAGATAATCCCTGCACCAACTGGCCTTGCTAAAGGGCTCAACAGGGAAATCATCGGGGGATTTGAACCAGCAACCTTCCCATCATAGGCACAGCTCCACCATAACCTGCTAAGCCACAAAACAACCAGGAGCAGAGTATGATTTCAGCTCATCCTCTTTATTATCATCATCAATTTCATTTCAGATTGGCTTTAATTCATGCTGTCCAACAGATGAATGAATCATAAAATATTTGATTATTATAAGGAAAATACTTCAAAGCACACGCTCTGCTTCTCAGGGCACAGATCTGTGCTTTCCTGCTGTAGAAGTGTTTTGGGAAGCACCTCCCCCCATTTCCAGAATTTTCTCCCCAGTCCCCCGGATCCTGAACCCCAGCCCTCAATTAGCTATATAACAATCAGATCGACGGCGCTTAATCTTAATGAAATCACATCTATCATTTCTGTAGCTTCATAATGTAGCAATCAGGATGCTCAAGTGCTGCATGTGATCTATTAGTAGTTCCTGAATGGTAATTAAGCCTAAAAATGCAAAAACAGGAGACGATGGTACACAAGGGGTTATTTTGGGAGCAGAGCTTCAGGACATAATATGCCTTCGAACACAAGAGGAGACAAAAATTCAGTGTAGGCAGAAGAACCAAGATCCACTTATTCTCTGCTAATACTCAAACTGTGACTCAGCTAGGGCTTGGAGAAAAGGCCGACCCAAAATAAAACCTCAATACCAACAGCATTCCCTGTAAACAAACTGCAAGGCAGCCGGAAGGAAACGTGAAGCCAAGATGCGTTAGCGGAGCCGGATCCCATGCAACGGAATTTATTCGGGATTATTTCAGACGTCCCAGATAAATGCTGAAGTGCCGAGCGCCTTACTCTGAACATCTGTGACTTTCACAGGACTAGCAAATATTGGTAAAGCCTAATGCCCCTAATCTTTTATCCAATTTAGATGGATGAGGCCTGCCAGTGAATTAGCACAATCATCCCAGCATTATTCGGTAGGTAGGAGGTACCGGGGGTGGGGGGTGAATGAGCACCTTTACCCTTACAGCTCAGGCCATGCGAGGGGGCACTTTGCATTCTAAATTGCAGCCTTTCCTGAAGTTGCCCTGTCAGCTCCACACAGATGTATAAACAATTCTCTGTCATTTGATCTGAGCTGCATGCTGCCCATGTTTTCATTCAGACAGTCTGCTATTCCTTGCCTGCATGCTGTGGTAATCATACACAACTCTGCATAAAGCAAAAAGAGCTTCCCTCAATCATTAAAGGTAATTCAGCTTTTGTCTTTTCATCAGTGACGAGGGCCGAGGATGACTGAGAATTTCATTGAAGTCCCAGATATCAAAGTTTTCCCCCATTGTTTGTGAAATTCTGAAATGAGTAACATATTTAAGATCAAAAGGAGGCGCTCATCCCACTCACTCCGGTGGCAAACAGGCCGGTTTATGCGGACGTGCCGGGGTGTCATGATGGACGCTCCCACTGCTGTCTGTGCGCACGGCAGCCAGCATGTCTCAGGGTGACAGCGGCGCCCCTCTGTGGAAGTCATGGTTCAGAGTGACGATCTGTGCTGGGGGCCCGGGTGAGACGGAAAGACTATTGGAGGGTGGCTGCACATTTCCTGGGACGGGTGTGTGGAGACATGGTCCGGTAGGCAAATTATCCACAGACAGAGCTTGGGGGGGAAAGGGGGGTCCAGTCCTGGGAGCTCCCCCCACAATAAAACCAGGAGAATAACATTGTGTAACGTACATCTACTCGGGTCTTTTAGATGCAGAAAGCTATCAAGGCATGACATATAGGTCTCATCACTGTGAGGATGCATTCACCAATCTGAAAGCCCCCTCCAGCTGTTAGGTTTCAGGAGCCTCTTGCCACTCTGGGGGAGTCAGACCTCCCACAAACACCGATGTGCACTGCAGAATCTCCGGCATGTCTGCACCGCTGCTGCCTCTCGCGCGGTCTTTTTCTTTTTTCGTTAACTTGCAGAGGAAAGCGTCCGCACCACATTCCTCCGCCGGAGAGGCCCCGCTGCTCGTGCAGAGCTTCGCGCTCTGACCATATTAGGAGCCCAGCAGTGAGCAGTTTCTGCTCTCCAGAGGCCCGTCAGCTGGGAATGTCTGGCCCTCGTGGCCAAACAAAGCAGCGACAGGATTAAAACATTAAGGCGGCCCTGACGAGTGTCCAGGCCGGCCTCGGTCACTGGCTCTCTCCCCTAGCTAATGCATGGGAATGTTGTAGATCAGCGTGCTGCGGGATCGTTAAGGCCTCTGCAAAGGGTAGGAACGAAAGAGCAGGCTAGGAGGCTTCTAGAAACCACGGGATAAACTCCTTTGTCACTGTAAAGCTGTTGCGTTAGGCAGCTTTTTAAGGTTCCCTAATCATAGCCTTGCAACATGTGGGGGAGAAAATAATGCAAAGAAGACCAATATTCTGGTTTGGTTCTGATTCAATATCTGTACAGCTATCTAATCAAATGATTTATGTACAAATGAATCCTTACAGCTAACCCTGGAAGCCATTAGCGTTTATATTTCATATGATTAAATGTAACGTCAAATTGTATTTGTTATTGTTATTTTGGCCAATCTAACAGATAGGGTGTTACTGTAAAGGGGGGGGGGGGCTTTCTACTGTTGTTATAGAATTACAGCGCCACCTGCTGACAACCAGTGGCACTATATGTGGACCAAGTGATATGGCTGTTTGAAGTTTTTGCAGTGCTATTATCTAATGTGGGTTAACGAAATAATAAAATAATACCAAGCGAGTTTTAATAGTACAGACGCTCCCCGGGTTACTATGGTCCATGTTATGATATTTTGACTTTTACGATGAGTATTCCTATTCCATTCTGTTTTTCACTTTCAGTACATTATTCAATAAGTTACATAAGATATTCAACACTTTATTATAAATAGGCTTTGCGTTAATGATTTTGCCCAACTGTAGGCTAATGTGAATGCTCTAAGTATGATTAAGGTAGGCTAGGCTAGGCTAGGCTATGGTGGTTGTTAGGTTAGGTGTACTGTATTAAATAGGATTTTCGCTATTAGGTTTAGGTTTTTTGGATTGTAACCCCATCGTAATGCAGGGAGCATCTGTTCGTGGCTCTTTAAAAGACCAGTATAGAAAAGCAATATATCTCAATGGACAGAATTTTACTACAGAAGTAATTAAGAGTATTGGTTAAAGAACAATGTAGAACTCCATTTGCTGTTTCAGAGTTTACTGAGGTACCCTGACCCAACAGAAACAGTAAACTCTCTTCCTGGTCTTAAAACGCGTGTCTTGCTCCCTTTCCCTAGTAGAGGTGACCATGGATGCAAGAAAGATCTCCTACCTTGTAGGTTAGCATCTGTGACACCAACACAGGCCTGCAGCTGTTTGCGTTTTATAGTTTGGTTTCTTACTTTGGTTGAGAAGGAAGAACTACTGCTTCACACTGTAAGTGTAAACTGAGATCTGAGAAAGATTGAATGTCTTGTCTGTTGCACTCATGGGGGATGAGCAGCTACCTTAATGACGTCTCCCACACATATTGCTTCACTTCCAGCAGGTGTGTTTCCGCTTGGGTTATTACACCCCTCTGGCTGTGGGGGCACCGCGAAATGAGCTACAGCACGATACGTCTCCGGGGCGCATCTTACAAACATCAACGATGGGTGAACAAGCAGCATTTAGACCTGTGATTGGCTGGCACCGCTTGATAACTACTCTCTGGTGCACTTTGGGAGGCTAATCTTCTTAAAAAGGAAAGGACCCAATTTAAGGTAATTAAGCCATCTGAGTGAACCCGGTCCATATCAAAACAGCTCCTTTTTCCGGAAGGATCCAGGCGCAGGCTGTTTCCGTACCAGACTAGGGATCCCAAACAAACAGATTTGACATCCGACAGCCCCTTCCTCCTAGTCTCGGGCTGACTGCGATCTTTCCATTTTCCTCGGATGAGCAGCCGGTGTACTGAGGAGGCCCATGTTACCCGGGGGGGAGCTGGCCCTGCATCTTGGCAAGCGCTTACCCCCGTGCCCATCGATGCATTTGAGCGTAGCCCCGTGCTGCAGAAGATAAACTCCTGTTTGCTCACAGACCAAAATAATGAAGCGATCTCAGAGACCGATACATGAAACTGACTACGGGCGAGCTTCCAAGTTCTCAAAGGTATTCAGTGTTAAACTGATGCCAGTTCATGCTTCAGATGGGAGCGAGGCAATCTATACACTTCCTCGTTAGCATGTTCCAGCTTCCGTGCCAGTTAAATTATACAGTGACTCACTGGAAAATGCAGTAAACAGATCCGCTCGTTATCTAGTCAGCTGACAGAATGTATTTAACTTGTTAAATCTAGCTGAGTCTTTTTCTCACTTTCCATCAGAAGATGACAGCTAATATTATAACTGACGCTTGTGACCACAAAGCCTGAACTTTGAACACGAATAAGAACGACAGCCAGACACCTTGGCTGAGAGCCCAATGGAGAGGAGCCCATATACTGCGCAGAAGTGATGCTTAGTCTCAAGGTAACAGATGGTAGTAAGCTTTGACAGAACAACGGTGAAGGAAAAGCTTGGTGTCAGTCAGCTGATATCGATTTTAGCTGCATAATTGCGATTTCTTTTGAATGTACAAAGAGCAGAGCGGACCTGCTACTGGACGATCACAATGGCTTTTCCCTTCCTTTTTCTTCTTCATGTCCAATACATTCATTTTCAGCCATCAAGGTCTTTGTTGTATAAAGGCAGACAGGGCATGGCAGTTGGGCTACATACCCTATAGACTGATGACAGGCCCTCAAACACAATGATTGGGCAGCTATGAAGAAAATGACGGGTCACAGAACATCATCAACCCATCCTGGGCACTCTTCCTGTTATGTGCGACGCCCAGCAGGGCATATCAAACCACCGCACCGCATGTCG